GATCATGCTTCTGACTGTGGCTTGACCCAAAGAGAGCTACTCTTTGGTAGTGTAAGCAGATGAGATACACAGTAACACAAAACTTCTCCCTACACCACATCAGACACTTACTTTTTACTACTTACCCTCCTCATCTCCTTTCCAACCACTTAGCTCTCTACCACTACTCATTCCCAAGGTGAGGTGAGGTTTTTGGTGGGTGGCTGGTGGTAGTAAGCAAAGGGTAGGAGGGAGGGCCGGGGGAGGGGGAAATAAAAGGTGAGTGGGTAGATTAGACTGCACTATGGAGTCTTTTGTCCTGTCTATGTGGTTCCTGAAAAGTTTAAGAAATGCTGAGTTTGCATCTGGGAACAGGGGATGTATAGATTCTCTAATACAACTTTGCCCATAGTTTGTTACTTCCCTGTGCCAAATATTTATGGTTAGGCTGTGCTGTCCCTCACAGGTGGGTTTAAAAATTATCATAGGAACATAGGAAAGGAAGTAGAAATCATAAAAGTGATTTAAGCCAGAAGGGACCTTAAAAACCTTCTTGTACAACCTCCTCGTTTTACAGATGAGGAAACTGAGGCACAAAAAGATTTCTTGACTTGTCCACGATCGCAGGAGTGGGAATTGAACCCTGCTCTCCTGACTCCAAATTCAGTGTCCTTTTCACTGCACCTTACTGTCATGTTATTGATGACAAGATACAAAGTCTTTGAGCTTCTTCCCTGGAAGAGTCCACATTGATTTATTTTTCACAAGTCAGTCTCAGGGCAAGAGATTGCTGGTATTGAAAGCCGAGAGCCTCTGAAATGACTCTTGCGACTTATAATCTAACAATGAATGGAATCCACTAAACAGCCTGATAAATACTTAGTGGAGGTCTGCTTGCTAGTTGGAAATTATAGAACTGTAAACTAGGCATCAGTGAGTGGATAGGATTAATAAAAACAATCTTGTCCATTAAACATTTTAGCTTTATACTTTCATAAAATGTGAAAGTTAAATTTGTTAATGCATGGTTATCACATACAGAATAGTTTACAAACCACTATTATTTTGGTGTTTGCTAAAAAAAAATATTAATATGATATATTCCTGGAAAACCCAACTCCTTTGGCAGGCTATTGGTGTTTTGGAAACTGTTTCGAAATAATCTTATGATTTATTCCTCACTTTACTCATTCTCAAAGCTGAAGTTGACTAGTGCTGACTGACATCAACACAAGACTGTTGCTTAGAATCAAGGAATGTCAGAGCTGGAAGGGATCTTAGAGAACATATGGTCTGATCGTTTCATTTTGCAGGTGAAGAAATCTCACCATGAGGGATATTTTATCACATTTCATTGTTTTAAAATTCTGTCCCTCTGACTGATTGGTTAATGGTTACTTTAATAAAGTTAATGATTTTTGTCTTTTTGGCTCTATGCAATTGGGCTTGGGTATTCTAACTAGACTATCTCACAGGAAAGGTAGCAAAAACATTTTCTTTCTTGTCTAACACTAGATTTTTATGATTTGAGAAAGGAAGTAGAAGGATAATTCCCTAAGGAAGAAAGAAATCTTCCAAGAAAACAAAATGCAGATACTGTCTTTTACCTTGATTCCCAAAAATGTTGAAAGAAGGAACTGGTGAATTTTACTCAGACTTTTTTTGAAGTGTAGTTGTGTTTCAGAAATACAATAGCAAGAAAAGTCCTTTGATGATACAGAATTTGTTTTATTTTATAAGCTTATTAATTAGTGTACTCTCTCCCCCGTATTAAAAGAAGATTTAATAAATTGGAACAATAAGTAGAGACATATGACTTTTTGAAAATCTTGATATTTTTAAGTCTTCATAGTTCCTTTTAATGTTCTCAGAGTATAAGGACCATTCTGTCCTTTCAGATATGTAGTCCTTTGATCTCTAAGCAATCCCATTTGGTTGTAAATGTATGCCTGTTCTTTGATCTGATACTTAACTGGTTTTACTTAAAAGAGAGAGCTTCTTTTATCAATGTGGTGTTTACTAGTTCTCTTTCTTCCGAAGATGGTTTAAATTGGCATTATTTAGATTAAACGTCATAAAGTTCCATGAGATCCTGCCATCCTGCAAACCCCAAATGTTCTACTTTATGTTCAGAAAAGTCAAATGCATTTCAAAATGAACTACTTTTGCGGTTATCTTTTAATAGTAGCAAAACATTCAGAAAATTAGCACCCTATTAAAAAGAAAACAAAGAATGGTGAACGGAACACATATCATTCACCATGTAGTCTGTGCAATTGCTCACCAGGGATTCAGGTATTATATTTTCAGACATTCCTGTACCGTAATATCATATAGGGTAAATGGAAATGGAACTTTTTTTTTTTAATTAGAAAAAGCTAGAGAATAAGAGGAAGATCTGCAAAGAAGAAAAGTGAAAAGGATGTTTATTTACTCTTTCCTTCAGGAACAATTTAAAAATATCATTTAAGAACTATTCCAGGTGTTTTTTAGCACACTCTGAGATCCCTGAGCTGCAGAAGAGTAGGACCTCTCAGTATAACTGATCCCCCAGATCATCAAAAAATCCACAACACTAAGCAATGTAGGTACCTGCCCAGTCCTTCATCTCAGTGCTATTGAAGTCTGAGACAACTACAAATTTTCACTGGGTAGTTGGCTATAGGCCTGTAACTTTCCTAAGCAGGCTTTAGGGAGTGGCTGAACTTGTCAATCCCCATCATTGTGGAAATGCAGCAAAATTTTCTACATAAACTTTTTTGAACTCTAATCATGTTTTCAATTTTAAAGGATAAAGGAACTGTCTCTTCTAGTTAAGAGTCAGTTAAAACTCCTCCCGTGCTAATTGCCTTTTTCCTTTTCTTTTCTTTCTTTTCTTTCTTTCTTTCTTTTTTTTTTTTGAAAGGGGGTCTCTCTATCTTGCCCATACTGAAAATGCGGCAACTTCTCATGATCTTTATCCCACTGTTGGTCTGCAGGAAGCTCATTTTTCCAAACTGGCCTGTAAACCAGTCCTTCCCCCACACCCTACCCCTTAGGCAGCCTGGTGGACCTCTGTTCTCTGGGGCTCACTCTATTTGTGCCGGAAGTATTGCAGAAAACTTGTATGCTTTAGCCCCACTGCAAGGCAGAACATCTGAACCCAAGCATCCAACAACCTCAGTCTTCCACTCTAGCAGGAATTACAATTAGTCAATCAATATTTAAGCATCTACTATGTCCCAGCAACTATGCTAAGTGCAGGGGATAGGCAAAAGAATCCTTTCTCTCAAGTAGCTTACAGTATAATGGGGCAGACCCCATGCACACAACTATGTACATACAAGCTATATACAAGATAAATTACAAATAATCAATAGAGGGAAGGCACTAAAATGAAAGGAAATCATGAAAAGCTTCCTGTAGAAGGTGAGATTTAAGCAAGGACTTGAATGAAGCCAGGGGAGATGGGAGGTGGAGCTGAGGAGGACATAGGGGACAGCTAGAGAAAATCCAGTTTAGAGATGTCCAGAGATGGAGTGTCTGGTGGGAGGAACAGCAAGGAGACAGACCAGTGTCACTGGATCAAAGAGCACATGGAAAGGGATGTATAAAGTATATAAGTAAACTGGGAAGGTGAAAGGGAACAGATTATGAAGGGTTTTGAATACAAAACAGTGGGTCTTGTATTTGATTCCGCAGGTGATATGGAGCCATTGGAGTTTATTGAATAGTTTATTGAGTGACATGGTCAGACCTGTCCTTTAGGACAGAACCTGTCTTTTTTTTTTTTTTCAGCTGAGTGGAGGATGAACTGGAGTGGGGAGAAACTTGAGTTGAGTCTGGGAGAGCAACCAGAAGGCTACTGCATTAGCCCAGATGTGTGGTGATAACACCCTATAACAGAGCAGTGGCAGTGTCAGGAGAGAAGGGAGCATATTCCAGAAATATTACGAAGGTTCCAGCACTTGGTAACAGATTGGATATGGGAGGGAATGGTGACAATATAGAGATGAGGATGACACCTAAGTTGTGAGCCTTAGTGACTAGGACAATTTTTTCTGTGAAGTTTGGATTAATCAAAGGGCTGCACTTGAGGACCTAGAGGGCCACAGGTGACCTCTAGGCCACAGGTTCCCCAGCCCTGGACTAGGAAGATGGTAGTACCCTCAACAGTAATAGGGAAATTAGGAAGAAGGGATGGTTTAGGGGGAAGTTAGGTTTTAGGCATGTTGAGTTTAAGATGTCTATGGGTCATCCAGTTCAAGGCATCCAATAAAAAATTGGAGATTCAAAACTGGTGGTCAGTGGACAACTTAGGACTGGATAAGTAGATTTGAGTACCATCAAAATAGAATACATTGGAGCTGCTGAGGTCACAAAGTGAAATAGTATAGAAGAAGAAAAGAAGTAGGTCCAGGACACTGGACTGTGGGGCACCCATGGTTAGTGGGCATGACCTGGATGAAGATCCAGCAAAGGAGACTGGGGAGTGGTCAGACAGCTAAGAGGAGGAACAGGGGAGAACAGTGTCATGAAAACATAGAGAGAAGAGGGTATTAAGGAGAAAGTACTGTGTCTATTTTTTTTTAATTTCTACAGCCATTGAAGTTGTTTGTAGATGACAGAAATCTACAGACATGAAATTTGTCCATGAGGTCTAGAGCTAATAGAAAATTGAGGACCATCTCTATGGGAATAGTGAAAACATTTGTAAGAATTTTGTTGTTCAGTTATGTCTCCTCTTTGTGGCTTGATTTGAGGTTTTCTTGGTAAAGATATTGGAGTGGTTTGTCATTTCCTTCAGCTCATTTTACAGATGAGGAAACTGGGGAAACAAGATTAAGTGACTTGCCCAGAGTCACACAGCTAGGAAGTGTCTGAGGCCAGATTTGAGCTCAGGACTTCCTGACTCCAGGCCCAGCACTCTATCCACTGGGCCACCTGACTGTCCCCCCAAAAAAATACAACAAATAGATGAATGAGAACATTGTTGGCCTTGGTAACTCCTTTTTCTTCTCCTTTTCAAACATATTGTCCAGTGCTGCCTAAGCAGAGCAGAGGCAAGACGGGATGCAGCCAAAGTGGCCCTGATCAATTCCCTCTTCAATGAACTGCCCTCTCGAAGGATAACTAAGGAGTTCATTATAGAAAGCGTTCAGGAAGCCATCGCCTCCACCAGCGTAAGTGCTACCTACAAGGAGTGAGAAGTTGGCAGCAGTGAAAATGGTGGGATGTTTTGGGGTCATCAGACAGGTTTCTAAGTGGATTTTTCTTTAAGGTCCACATGCATTTGATCTTTCTTCTTTTACTGAAGCTTGATAGGGGAAAAACCACTGGGCTAGAAGTCAGGAAAATAGAGATTAGGTGCTAGCTCCCATTTTAGGGGAAAACAGTTCATCTCACAGGGAGAGTTTCTCAGTCTTTAAATTAAGACTGATAGTTTTTTGAGAGTTAAGCCCAGATCTTACCTGTGAGAAACCAAGTAACTCTTTTAACTTTTAAATGGGTGTTAATTCTTTTAAGGCCATGAGACCCATTTTGTTAATGACTTCTTCAGTACCCTAAACCTTAAATAATAAACTAGTGATCTGAAATAGTCAATACACCTCCTAAATCTCAAGGACTTATTCCTTTCTTTTGCCAAGGGATCAAGCCTTCTAGAAGGCTTTCAAAACTCCTGTCCACTAATTTAAATGGGAACATCTCAGCTTTTGGGGAGTCAATTATTTTTCCTGCAGATATCTTTTCCTGGGAATATTCTCCTGCCATGATACTAAAAGTAGGGTTCAATGGAGGTGAAATTAGGGACAGATACAAAGAATTGTGCATGTACACACAAATATGTGTGTGTGTGTGTGTACACAGCACATGCATTGGTATGTGACTTCATTCCAAAATCCAAAATAAATGTGACTTTTGGATTATTGTCTATTGATGATCATTCACACATCTCTTTCCCCCTTCATTAGCCTAGTGACTGTTGTTAAGGGGATTTGTTCTGTGAAGTTTGGATTCAGTCAAAGGGCTGCACTTGAGGACTTAGACGGCCATACATGGCCTCGAGGCCACATGTTTCCCCACCCCTGGCCCAGTCCCTCATCAGAGCTCTAGATTTGTAATCAGAAGATGTCAGTTCAAATCTAGATGCTGCTCCTTAGATAAAATGCTCAGCTTCTCTGGATCTCAATTTCTTCATCTGTGAAATGAGGGGGTGATCTCCAACCTTGGCCTTAGGCTAACTGAAATGATTCTGTCATGCTGAAAGAAATTTCTGCCTACATGTGTGGCATGTAGTTTAACTATTTCGAGAATTCTGCTAGCATATGCTGTTTTGATCAAAAAATACTTTTATCACTTCTAAAGGGTGAAAAACGTTGGGAACAAAGGACAGCAGGGTAGTTGTACCTGCAAAGAGACTTCTATAGCTGACCCTGGATGGCAGGAGGCCTTTGTTTCTGAGTCTTGTGAATTTCACACCAGTGTCTCTGAGGGACAAAGTTAGGGAAATGGAGCTTGGTTTCTTTAGGTGTGGAATTTATCCTCAGGGTAGGGAGGGTGTTAGGGAATTTCTTAGTGTAAAGGTAATTTATCATTTTTTAATGGAGATTTTTAAGGTAAAAAAGTATAAGCTTTGCAGACCTCTGGGCAGATGTCCTCTGGGATTTTTAAAAGCCAGTATAAATATTTCAGTAGCAGTATGTTAATGTTATTGCATTCAAAAGCTATGGATTTGCTGCTACCTGATGTAGGCTGCTGTGTTTATTCAGTCCCACAAAGCTGCCGTTGCTGACCTTCAGAGGAATTTCTGACCATTCACTACTGGATGGTCTTTATTAAAGGGTCTAATGCTTACTAGATCCACTTAGCCCACAGGCTTTTTCAGAGCTTATTTCCTCCCCACCCCCCATCTATGTTTGAAGGAGTTCAGTTTCTACCCTTTACCTATCCACCTAGTTTCCTGAGGCTTAAATAATCCAAGTGTGAAGGAAATACAAGCCAAGATCCACATCCATGCCAAACAGCAGAGTATTATAGAAAGCCTCAGTCACGAATCATGAACAGAAAGTATGGATGGTTCTTGTAGTCATAGGATTTTTTATAGATCAACTTCATTCTTTCTCCTAGCAATGCCCAGGACACCGCCACCATTCAACTGGTCGTGTTAGTAGACTGCTAAGAAGGCATTTAGAGGGCAACTATATAAAAGTGGGGTGGGAGGGAAGCCTATACAAATTAATTTGCATATTTTTATTTTATATGTATTTTTATGTATATGTATATATGTATAATTAATTTGTAAATGATTTCTATTATTATATAACTTGCGAGTCTGAAACTAGAAGAGACCTCAGGGGACACCTAGTCTAATTCCCTCATTTTACAGAAAAGATAACTGAGGCCCAAGGAGATTGAGTTACTCAACCAAGGTAGCAAGCATCAGAGGCATAATATAATCAAAGGGGAAGGGAAAGGGACAAGCATTTATTAAGCACCTTTTATGCACCAGGTACTGTGCTAAGTGCTGTGCTATTGTATTTCTCTGGAGTTCCTGTCACAAGACAAGGAGAACTCACTGTGGAACAAAAATCAGTAAGTAATCTTTTCTTCTCATGCTTTTTCCCAAGGGCACTATAAATGATGCTGATGACCCAAGTACCAGCATAGGAGCCTATCACTATATGCTGGAGTCAAACATGGGGAAAACTATGTTGGAATTTCAGGTACTGATTTTCTTCTGTTTATTTATGCACTTTTCCCTCGCCCCTCCCCTGACACTTACATGTGGATTCCTTCAGGTAAACTACTCCAGGTTTAAGGTGCTCCGTGGATCAATATCTATATATGTATGCATGTCATGAGCCCCCATCAACATACTTACTTTTATTATTTAGCCAGAGGTTACAATTAGTTCAAAGTAAAGGCATTATAGTAGGAAAAGTAGAAATTGAACATTTCCTCATAAACAAATAAGAGATGCACTCCCTGACAAATAAACATGTCATCAGTCCCTCTACAAAATATGTGTTATAGAACTCCAGTAAATTACAGAGCCTGTTCTAAGAAAGAGACAAACAAAATTAGAGTGCATATGTCCACGGTTTAATTTTTCTGAAGCTGACTTGACATGCGTTGCATGGGAGTTCAGTTCAAAACGGCCCCCCTAAGGGGGTGAGTTCAGAACTGGCTCAGTTTGAGGGAAGGGGGTACAAGGTTATATGCCCTTCAAAGAGTGGGTGTTCCCAAGGGATGCCAATCAACTCTTAATTGGTCAACATACTGGGAGGTGGGTTATATTAAAATGAGAGAGTCTTGGGGTACATGACTTAGGTCACTTAATCTTGGTCAAAGAGACATCAATTTCTATTTCACCTGTCTTGATAGAAGGGAGGAATTAATATTCTCCCAGACCTGTGTGGGCGCCATAATGAGCAGGAATAGACCCATTTAGTTAGATCTGAATGTCCTTCTGAAGGACTGAACTTTTAAAGAAAGGAGGTTGGGGAAGTTCTGAGATGATTACTCAGAAAAACATGATTTTTCACAGTGACAAAATTACACATATGGAGGGAACATGTGACCAGGAGGTATTTGTGTAGGGGGCAAGTCATACCTTCAATACTGTGGGGCCACCAGGACCTCCTGGCAGTGTCATTGTACCTGCTGTACCTGCTTCCTGCTGGTCTCAGATGAAATGTAGTCTCTACCAGTTAGTGCTCTGCTAGTTTCCTGTTCACTGCCAGGGATGGGTCTACTGGGCATGTGGTTGTGGAGCTTCCAGCTTCTAGCTTAAAAATGTGTGTGTATCTATAGAGGCAGCATAGTGTATTTGATAGAGAGCTTGTCTCAGAAAGACCAGGGTTCAAGTCTTGCCTCCAGCACGTGCTGGGTGGGTGACCCTGGGTAAGTTATTTAACAGCCCAGTGCCCCAGGCAACTCCATAAAACTATAAATTATAGCACATTTGCTGATATGTATTGGTAGAGGGAATTTCCCCACCAGGAGTTTTCCCTACATCAATAAAATAAGGAATCTTGTTTTAAAAAATAGCTAATTTTATTGTTTTTAGGGCTTATTAAGTATTTTACATACATTATCTCATTTTGATCCTGACCACAACCCTGGGAACTAGGTAGTACCAAAATGATTATCTTTATTTTAGACATTAGGAAGCTGAGGAGCTGAGAGTTACATAGCTAGTTTGAGACAAAGTCAGGACTAGAACCCAGGGCTTCTGACTCTGAATCCAGTGGAATTTCTACTAGATCCCACTCCCTCTTTACTTCTAGTAAGGCACTCACTGCTCTTGGGGTATAGTGCCTCACAACAAGGAATTTGGGGAAATCCTGTGCTAGAGTAATAATCCAAAAGGAATTGGCAAAAGGCAAAACTAACCACAGGTCATGTTTTCTGACAATCTAAAATCAAAGGGACGCCCTGCTTCCGCTACAATGGAAGTTACATTTCATGCTTCAGGAAACAGCAGCTTGTGTGTATTTTTGTGACTATTCAGTGAAAACCCAGAATGATTTTGAATCTGCCTAAGGTGGCTGGGTTAATTCCGCCAAAAGCAGGGGAATGAACAGAACAAACTTAGGATTCTATCCAGTGCTATGAGTCAGGAAAGGGTCTGTTCCCCATTCTTCCTTTTATTAATACTTTTATTGATCAATAAAGGATTGTGCATTTTCTGTATGCTCTAGGTGTATGTGTAGTATACTGTCCATCAATATTAAGTAATTATGTGAATCACATTGAATAAATGCTTTCCAAATTCTCCAAACCAGATGTTGGAGGATGCAGGAGGGAGAAGCCCCATGCTGATAGAATAGATCTGTGCTGGCAACAAGGGAGGAAAATCCCTGAAGCACATCCCTTCCCATTCTTCTTTTCCATCAGATACATTTGCATGCTTGGAAACAAGTGCTTTCTTTTGTAGCCTGGGTTAAACGTAAAATCACCCTGGATTTGCATGTGACTCCCACCCAAAGATGTTTCTGCAACAAGAACAGCAACTCGATATCCCTGATGGACGCTACACATCAGGAAAACACGCACATGTGAATCACGCGGGATAAAATATAAGGCTGGTGTTTTCTGCCTGCTTTGGAGACACCAAGGAGACCCATTTTCCAGTTTGGGAAATGAAATTTGAGATGACCACATGGCTTCAGGATCATGTAAATGTAGAAAACAGTTTTTGTTTGGGGGAGTGGGTTTGTTGTGAAGAAGATTCCAGGCATGATTTGTTGGGGGGAGGCGAAGCTAGACAGTAAGTCTCTTCAAGGTCAGGTTACAATCAGCCAAGTGGCATCTTTAACTTGACTCTGCAGATGGTTAGTCCTTGAGAACTAATACAATTCCAGAAAGAACTGTTTGTTTATATCTTGCTAAACTATCCAGGTCACCTTTAAAAAACCTCATCCCATAAACAAGTTTCCTCTTAAAATCCGTTCTCTTGGGTGGGGAGATGATGCCCACCTGTTTTCCAAGTTATCAATTTACAGTGTTTGTTTTTTCTTGTTTCTGATGAAGTGCAGAGCCAGCCCAGGCCTCTCAGAGACACTTGAGGGAGTGGCATGTGCATTATTTCCCCCTAAGGCAGCTGGAAAGCCAAACATCATGGCTAATGGGAGACAACAACAGGAAGCTCTGTTCTGACAGACTCCAGTTGTTTCTGGTCTTAAAATGAATGAATGACAGAGTGAACCAGAAAGTCTGGTATTGTGAGGACCATGGCTATTTTTTTCCCTAAAGGGAAGACCCAGGGCCTGATCCACAGTTTTCTAAAAAACAAAACAAAACAAAAACAAAAACAAAAACAGTCAGTTCCCTAGAAGAAATTAAAAAGATCAGCCTCTAGTCTGGTCTACCATGCAAAGAGTGTGCTACACAGAAAATTCCATGAAGTAGAACAGATATCACACTCAGTCACTTTGTGTTTTTCTTTTCCAGCGACAGTCTTTTTTCAGGAAGAGGACACATTTTTAAAAGCTCAAGTTAAAAAACATTTATTAGGTTTCTCCTCTGTGCAGGCCATGGTGTTAGGCATTGGGGATGTAAAAATAAAACGAAACAGTTCCTAACCATTCCTTGCCCTCATGAGACTTAACATTTTGCTGAGAGGAATAGAACATGTACACAGAGAGGTGTAATCCAGGATTCTCCCTATCCCCCAAAGACTCAAGGTTCACATGGTTCAGGTCTGATCTTGGGGACAGACACCATCATTCTCTTTCTTTGTCTCACTGTTCTTACCTGGAGTTACTGCAGGAAAAAATCTGTAACATTTGGCTTATACTGGGATCCTAATTAGGCACTCAAGGTAGCAACGTATATGGATAGGAAAGCATTTATATTGCCCCACAAAAAATGCAGAAACTATACAGGGCTCACAGGAATACACCAACAGGTAGAGAAACATAAATCCTTCAAATAACTCTTCAGTCCCCTTTAGAAGGGACCTACATTTAAGGTTGCCTTTGGAGCAAGCTTTTGACCATCTGCTATCTCCTCTCCCTCCTATGGTTTTATACAGTCCCTCCCAGACTTGTATCACCCTGTATTTTGGCCTCTTCCCAGAAGGCATACACATTCTGAGGCTGTTGCACTGTCACAATAAAAATCTGTAATAAAGAGAAATTGAGGCACAAAGTTCCACACATAATAAATTTATTAGCAAGGCTAGTAATTGCTAATAAAAGGAGGTCAATGGATCTCAGTAGCCAAAAACACACCCAGCAGTCAGAGCAGCTTTTTGTACAGTTGGTTACATAAGGTCCAGTGATACAAACTAAACTAAGAATGTGATTGGTCTATAGCAAAGGTGAAGGTATGCTTTTTTTACTTATTCATGCTTATTCAAAAGACAAGATCTCCAGAATCCATCGCAATAAGGAAAACACAGAGTTGGTCAACATCCTCTGGAAACTCTCATGTTAAGCATCACCCAGCACCAAAGAGACCAAGTGCTAGGTAGAAATATCTTATGACTAGATTGACTCATCTTCCTTATCTCTCTCCTCCTTTCTGGGCTATTAAGTCCAGGTTGTAGCACAGATGATTGAGAAGCATAAACTCTTACAAACTCTTCTACTGAAGCCTATATAATCAAATCTAAATGAATCTGACCCATTTGTACTATTTCCAGTGATTAACCTTAACTCTTAACTATTAATCAATCAATAATCTAAATTTCACAACACAACCCATACCCTTCCCTGGAACCTGCTCTGTACAATCCACACAATGGCTTATGATTTATGTAGGATGCTGTTTAGAATTACATGAGAGCCTGGTATTATGAAATTCTATCTCTTTTTCAACAGTCTGATCCCTAAAATCTTAAATTTGGGGCCACCTACCAGGCAACCCCCAAGGTTAGAATTCCTTTCTTGGGCATGCATATGTCTGTTTCTTTTTCTGACTGCTCTGTCTGTTTAGTCATAAACTCTTCCCTTATCCATCAATCTGACAGGCGTAATTTTCCATGCTCCCCTAATTTGCTTATGATATCACCCTTTATGTATAAATCATTTACCCATTTTGACCTTATCTTAGTGTACAATGTGAGATGTTGGTTTGTACCTCATTTCTACCAAACTGCTTTCCAGTTTTTTTTTAGCTCCCTTGAAGCTGTAAGCACCAACACTTCTTTCTGCCTTGAAACTGTGACCCAGAACTGTGTATTGGCAATGGAGTTGCCAAAAAAACACCTCGTCCTATGTCAAGTGCCAGCACAGGGTCCCCTATAATATCTTTCTGACTAATTGTCCGATCCCCTTACCAGTTCCTCATCTGTAAAATGAGCTGGAGAAGGAAATGGCATATTATTCCAGTATCCTTGCCAAGAAAACTCCAATTAGGGTCATGAAGAGCCAGGCACAACTAAAACAACTGAACATCTATATATCTATATATTTATCTATACATACATATATATAAAATCCATATATTTATCAACAGCAAGGAACAAGTATGCTTTTGCTAATTACATATTTCAGTATATCACCTGTTTTCCGACACATAATTGGCTAAAAGATCTAACAAAGATCCTACTATACTTATTACTTATTGACTATAAAAATGTGTTTGATTTAGTAAGACAAAATGCCCCTTCTAAAGTCTCTCTTCCAAAAATGGAAATTCATTCAACCTCTCTGAGCCTCAGTATCCTTGCCCATAAAATGTGGATTTACATTTATATAGTACCTTTAGGTTTACAAAGTACTTTCCATGCATTTGATCCTCAGAACACCCCTATAAGTTAAGTGCTGTTTTATCCTCATTTTACAGATGAGAAAACTAAGGCTCAGAAAAATTCAGCTCAATTCAACAAACATTTATTAAGTGCCTACCATGTGCTAGGCACTGTGCTAAGGGCTTAGGATGCAAATAAGAAAAAGAAAGTCTCTGCCCTCAAGGAGTTTACAATCTAATAAAGGAAGATGCACAGGAAAGGAAGCTGAAAAGTGGGGAGTTGGGGGGGGGGAGGTAACGTTCCTGAAGTCCAAACCAAGCAGAGCTGGTGATGGAAAGTGGGGAATTAGCAAAAGTTTAGATCACAGCCCTCTATAAAGGAAAGCTTTGGGAGAAGTTTGGTGCCCACCCTGCAGTCTATCAGTCAGAGGGGGAGGGAACTGAGAGGTTGTTGAACATCCAAAACGGAATTGACCAGCATGATGAGATTTCAGGTGGATCTGTTTATCCTGGGTTGGAGCATCATATTCCCAGAGTCCAAATCCAAGCAAAACTGCTGATGGAAAATGGAGAGTAAGTTGAGTGATATGTCCAGGGTCACAGATACTAAATGTCTGCCGCAGGATTTGAACCCAGTTCTCCCTGAACCCAATTGCTGCCTCACAGTCTCACATCTATGTGTTCAATACTTGTATTACCTCTCCTATGGAGAATATCACGGAGAAAGCACTTCATAAACCTTAAAGAACTACATAAATATACCTAGCACTGTTGCACTGTGGCTGACATTCTGAAAGAAATATTACACAACCAGACCTTGAATGTGGACAATGGTGAAGTCATATTTCAATAAGAGCCATGGTTTCCCAGTTAAATTTACTCTTATGACTGTTTACTTCCTTTGAAATTTACTTAGAATTCTGCTGTTGCTACAAGTATCAATATGCTATGCTGGGTTGCACATTTCAGAAGTCTAAGGTCTTTGGGGTTTGAAAAGTGACATGGTTTGGAGTTGTTTTTTGTTTTGCATTTTTTGCTCATGCTCCTTACACCACTGAGAACTTCAGGGAACTGAAGAGAAAAGAGTGCTCTCAAACTCTGCCACCACCTGGTTGGAGAATCTGTCCCTTCCACTCAGATTTCACAAGAGCCAGTCAGTAACAGATAGTTGTCTCTCTGCAGGAGCTGATGATTGTTTTCCAGCTACTGCACTGGAATGGAAGCCTGAAAGCCCTTCGGGAAACCAGGTGTTCCCGACAGGTAAGATGTACCCACCTAAGGAAGGTGGGTAGAATTGGTTGGCTTGGCATGAACCAAGGAGATGAACTGGTCTATCAGGACATTTTCCCAGGAGGGGTGGATTGTCACAGAGATACAGTCTCAGTGGTAATCCATATCTGAACAACCATCCCTTCTATAATAGAGGAGATAAGTAGTCACCCCAGAATTTCTTAAGAACCTCTAATCCCTTTGGACTACTCATCCTTATAACCATCCTTTGCCTGCTTTGACACTACTGCATAGAAAGACAAAATCCTAACTGTGCATTTAGCTTTTTCCTCCCTTAATTTCCTAAATTTCATTTTCACCTTCCTCATCTTCAAACAGTCAACAAGCATTTATTAAGTGCTTCCTATGTGCCAGGCTCTGTACTAAGCACTGGGGATACAAAGAAATGTCAGTCCCTGCTCTCAAGGAGCTCACAGTCTAATGGGGGAGGTAATATGCAGACAACTATGTACAAACATGACATATGCAAGATAAATAGAGATTATCAACAGAGGAAAGACATTAACATTGAGGAGAGATCAGGAAAGCTCCTTGTAGAAGGTAGGATTTTAGCTGTGACTTGAAGTAAACCAGGTAAGCTAGGAGGCAGAGATGAGAAAGGAGAAGGCATGGGGCAGAGGCAGTGAAAATGCCTGGAGTTGGTAGAGGAAGTATCTTGTTTCAAGAGCAGAAAAGAGGCCAGTGTCCCTGAATTTCAAAGCATGTAGGGAGGAGAAAGGGGTAAGGAGACTGGAAAGGTTGAAGTGTGGCAGATTATGAAGGACTGTGAACACCAAAAAGAGAATTTTTTTTTTCCTGGAGCTGATAGGGAATCACTGGAGTTTATTGAATGGGGCAGGGGGAGAATAGGAAAAGGGGTAACATGGTTAGACCTGCTATTTAGGAAGATCACTTTGACAGCTGAGTGGAGGATGGACTGAAGTGGGGAGAGACTTGGGCCAGGGAGCCCAACCAACAGGCTACTGCAATAGTCCAGGCATGAGGTGATAAAAGCCTATATCAGGGTGGTGGCAGGATCAGAGGAGAGAAAGGGATAGACGTGAGAGAGGTTATTTGACAACAGATTAGACAGGGGGCAGTGGGACAGAGTGTGAGAAGTTGAGGATGATACCTACGTTAGAAGATAGTAGTGCCCTCAACAGCAATATGGAAGATGGGAAGACAGAGGGGTTTGAAGGAAAGAAAATGAATTCCGTTTTTGACATGTTGAGGTTTAAGATGCCAGTAAGACATTCAGTTTTAGATGTCCAATAGGCAATTGGAGATGCAATTCTGGAGATTAAGAAGAAGTTACATTCAGATAAGTTTATCAGAGAATCATAATCACACAGACAATTGAATCCATGGCAATTGATAAGATCATCAAAAGAAATCATTAGATGAAGAAGGACCAAGCCCTTGGGGACCCCCACCCCCAGTTAATGGGTTTGCTTGAACTAAGATTAAAAAAAGGAGACTGAGAAGCAGTGTCATGATGAGGATTGAGAAAAGGCTATTAGATTTGGCAAGTGAAAGATCATTGGTAACTTGGAAGAGAACAGTTTCAGTTGAATGATGTTGGAAGCCAGATTATAGAGAGAGTTAAGAAGAGAGTGAGGGGAAAGGAAGTAAAAGCATTGGTTATAGATGGCTTTCTCAAGGAGTTTAACTACAAAAGGGAGGAGAGACATGGGACAATAGCCAATAGGGATGGATGGGTCAAGTGAGGGCTTTTTGAAGATGGGGGAAGGATATGGGCATGGATGTAGGCAGTAGGGAGGTAGCCAGTAGACAAGGAAAGATTGAAGATAAGTGAGAGTATAGGGATGATAGAAGGGGAAATCTACTGGAGAAGATAGAATGGAATGGGATCACTTGTTCATGTAGAGGATTAGCCTTACCAAGAAGGGCCACCTCTTTATTTGAGACAGGGATGAAGGAGGAGATAGTGGTAGAGGCAGAGAGGAGGCCCAGTGGATGGAGAGCTGGGCCTAGAGTCAGGAAAACCCGAGTTTAAATCTGACCTCAGATATTTGCTAGCTGTATGACCTTGGGCAAGTCACTTAATCTCTGTTTGCCTCAGTTTCCTCATCTGTAAAATGGAGATAATAATAGCAGGCTACAGGTTTAGGCTACAATATGCCAACTACCTTGCAGAGTTGTTTTTGGAATCAAATGAGATGATATTTGTAAAAGCACTTAGCATAGTGCCTAGCATATAGTAAGCGCTATATAAATACTTATTACCACCATCACCACCAGAAACCTTGAAAGGTTGTTATGAGGATCAGATGAGATAATCTTTGTAAAGTGCTTATTACGTTGCCTGGCATATAGTAGGGTAGCTATTAGATCTTAGTGGTATGAGAGGAGTGGAAGGGGAAAATAGGGAAATCTTGGTGAGTGGCATAAGTTTATTCAATGAAATATCTTCAGGGCAGCAAGACTGCAGGTTCATTTTTTTTCTTTTTGGGCATTTTAAATATTACTGTATATGAAACATCTGGCATCAGGGGCAAATATAAGTGATGAAGATTTAGCAATGGATATTTACTTTAGATCCAATATTTCTCTGTGCTGTTTGCTACAAAAAGCCCAGTATTCTGACTATCAAAGAAGGGAAAGAACTAAGTAATTTACAAAAGCTTTGGATTTTTTCTTCTTCTCTTTGATTTTATAAAAGGACTTTGAAATACATTGGACTTGCTGTAAACATGATTCCATGGTAATTTTTAATTTTGTTAACATTGTAAATAAATACCATGTGTCTATAGAAATAAAAATAAACAAGTCATTCAGCCACATCATCAGTTTTAAGCATACTCATAAAAACTGCACAGTCTGTTAAAAGGCATTACTGAGAATTCTTACATAAAGGAGATGTAAGGTGGGGACTAATATTCAAATCTTTGCAAAAGAAACTCTTTAAGCATGAATATGTTTTTATTTTTTCCAGACACATGATGTCTTCATTTTAGGGAACTCCCAGTATGGGAACTCCTCCTTTGATGCAGATCACAACTGGAGCTTATAGTTAGTATTAGGCTTGTCCATGGCCACAGAGCAAGGATGTGATCGAGGCAGAGCGTCAACTCTCGTCTTCTTGACTCCACATGCCTCATATCATAAGGCTTTTATGATCATATTTATAAGACCCGGCATTTACACACCATAACATATTGTCACTGCTTTTCATTATTACTACTGTCCGGGAGGTGAGCCATTATAAATATCACACTCCCTCTACTAATGATAAAGTTATTTAGTAACTTGCACCCTCCTGGATTAACCTTCAAGCTTTCTGATACTTCATTCTTGTGCTGAGGTCTCTCTGACCCACCTTTAGTCAGTCAGTCCATAAACATTTATCAGGCTATTATTATCATTAAGCCTGGCTATTATGTGCCCAGCATTATACTAAGCACTGGGAATAAAACTTTACAAAAAAAAGACAAAAAAA